CTTGACAAAATTTTTCGTCGAACTTTGAATTTTCAGATGAGTTTTCGACCAACTTTGAAGTTTTTGGTGTCTTTTCCAAATTCGTGTAGAATATTCAATCGAAATCTGGGATTGTTTTTAGAGAGAAAGAGGAGAAAAAAAGAGAAGAGAGAGAAAAAAAAAGGAAAATCTAAAAAAAATCGAGTTTTAGTCTTATATACCCTCTCCCAAAACGATATCATTTTTGTTTACTAAACACACAAGATTAAATGCTATGTCAAGATCCGACTCGACTCGTAGCGCCACCTGCGATCCAGCAAACCCACTTCTCCGTCTAAGTCGAGCCAAACTGTTTTCCTGTCGAGTCACACATCTTGAGCCATCAGTCTTCTTGAGCCTCGCTGCATTAAAGCCGAGCCTTCTAAAGATTATTTTTTCTTTTTTTTTTCTTATTATTATTATTATTATTATTATTTTATTATTTATTGATTAGATAGAATAATTTGGGTATTCCTTATTTTTATTTTTATTTTATTACTATTTTTATTTTTAATGATTTTCTTAAAAAAAATTCTAAAAAAAAATATTTTGAGGAAAGTTGAAAGTATCAATTTTCCTTAAAAATAAGCTTCTAAAAAATATTTTCGAGGAAAAGGTAAAAGTATCAATTTTCCTTCAAAATAAAATTTTTAAAAAAATATTTTTGAAGAAAAGTTGAAAGTATCAATTTTTTTTAAAAATAAATTTTTTTAAAAAATATTTTTGAGAAAAAGTTGAAAGTATCAATTTTTCTCAAAATTAAAGTTTCAGAAAAATATTTTGAAGAAAAGTTGAAAGTATCAATTTTTTTTGCACAAAAGCAGTGAATTTTTTAAAAGAAAATGATTTATATCTAAAGCTGAATCATAATTTTTTTTCATTTTATTTCTTTTCCTTTTTGAATTTTTTTTAATATTAAATAATCCGATGATAGAGCCTCTGCAAGTGAAACTGTAGTTTCCTTGCATACTCTTGAGGTGAGAAAGTTTTCTCAATTTTCTACTAAAAGTATTATAGTCAATTGAAAATAATTTTTAATAATTAATTACTTGATAAATTTTTAAGGCTTATTAATAACACAAAATTAAGCTGGTACCATCTTTCGATGGACGTTGTGAGGGTGCTATAACCTTCCTTATACGTAACCTACTCCCGAACCCTATTCTGGATAGTAGACCTGAACCTATTCTTTTAGTGACCCTTAGGCTTAGGTGTTCTTTAAAAGGATAGATTCCTTAAGTGGTTTATCGCACCTAGATAAAAAAGAATGGTGACAACTCCTCAAGTCAATGTCTAGCGATGGATCCCCGGATCTAGACGTTATGACACTTTTAATAACATAAATGTAAAATTATGATTTTATTAGTGTAAAAAATATTAAAATTAACAGTAATTAATTTGATCAAAATAAAATTAGCTATTGTCAATCCTTTATCAAGTTTATTCACAAACAATTATCAAATAATTTTGAATATAAACAAGTCAGTTTGTCTATGTTCAAATTAGGTTTATTATTAATTGAGTTTAAAAATATTGTCTAAATAAGTTTATTAAATTTCACAAATAAATGCAAACAAGCTTTTGTATAATACCAAAAAATAAAGAAAAAGAAACGAGTTGTTATATAATCAACTTCTTTGTTGAAAGAAATTTGATGATCTTGAAATTGAAACGATGGTAAATTGATCAAGGTTTTTATTATGTGCTCGAAGATGTGGGTTGATTCTAATTTAAGACGACCTTCTAACGTTATTTGATTTGATGAAAATTTTTGACAATATAAAAATTTTCACTTTTGGATCATTGTGATCAAATTTTAAGATACCACTTGATCCAAACGCATTATTATCAAAATAAATGGTTCTTTGATCTCACTAAATATTTTCTAATTTGGTAAGGTGACTTTAGCAAACTGGCTTTGATATCGAATAATGTGTATATATAAAGGAAAAGTTAAATTATGCCACTAGTTCCTATACTATACACAAAATACAAATTTACTTCTTATACATTAATTTCAATATGACAAGTATCTCTACTTTTTGTGATTTTAAATTTTCATCCAATCAATAACAGTTGTTTTTTTTTTCGTTATAAGTTGATAACATGTCACATTAACCAAGTGAGGTGGCATAGACCCAATGATGTAGGTTAAAAGATTTATGAATGGCCTAATTTTTGCCGCTGTGGAATTTTCATGTATTTTTTCTTTATTTTTTTGTTTCTTCCTTTTTATTTTTCGTCTTTTTCTCTCTAAGCATTACTCTTTTTACCTCTTAAGCACTCATGAACGTAAACAACCACCCACCAACAACTATAGAATTTGATGCTGGACCCCCGAATGTCGTCATCAACATCGCCATTTGTCGTCATCAGCATCGCCATTTGTCGTCATCAGCATCGCCATTTGTCGTCATCATCATGTCGAAAATACCCTAAAAGCTACCCAAAAATTTCTCTTGACCTTTCATAGCTTTTTGCTGACTTTAGATTTGCCAAAAAAACCCCCAATAAAGCCTAGATCTAAAGCCTAACACTCTGGCTCCTCTACCCAAAAATACCCATTTACGCTACTAAAAAAGGCTTAAGTTTTTACTATGTTTGTTTGCTCCAAATTTTCTCAACCAGCTCAGCCAAGCTCACTGGCAAAATCTCAAATTTCATCGAATGTAAAAACATGTACAAAATCAAACTCTAAGGTAAATTTATAAACGAAAGTATCTCCTAGGACATTGATCATTGTGAAAATCTCTTGTATTTGAACTGAAACGATAATTTGTTTACTAGAATAATTTCATGGGAAATATTGATGCTTCATTCAATAATTGTTGTTAATCTTTCTCATAATTTGCTCACTAGAACCACCCCTTTCGAACTTCAAAAATTGTAGCACTTCAAAATTTTTCAATGTTTCCTACAAAATTCACTAACCCAGTATTGTTATTGGGTGTGGTTGTTTTATTGATTTTGATTATCTTGATATGTTTATGTAGAATGAAGAGTGGTAGGAAAGTGGAGACAAGGGATAGCAAAACAAGTTGAAGATGAAATTCTTGGAGATAAGACAATAAAGGAAAGTAATAATAAGAGTAGTGGGTTATTTAGGATTGGTGTTTAGAGAGAGTTTAAATTTTAGATTGGATCTTGTTTATTTCAAAGAAAAAGAGATTGTTAAGGTAGATTTTTAGAGAAATAAACGTCAATTACTAGAATTAAAAGTCACACAATTTTTTTAATTGCCTGAAACTAAGTTTAGAGAGATAGGTTGTTAAAGTAAGTTTGTAGAGAGAAATAAAAAATGGTTTTGTTAGTGAAAATTATATGACTTGGAATTCCACATCAGTAAAATACCCATTTATCAATCTTTTAATCCATATCATCGAGTCAATGTCACCTCACTTGATCAACAGAATATTTCATCGATTTTGAAAGAGAAACTAAACCACCGTTGCTGATTGAACAAAAATTTAAAATCACAAAAGTTACAAATACGTCTCCTATTGAAATTAATGTATAGTATAAGGATTAATAGTATCATTTAACCAAAAGAAAAAAGTGTGAAAAATTTTAAAAGAAAACTTGACCTTTGAATTTTATTTTATTTTTTATGAAATTCAACATACATTTTCTAAATAAGAGTTGGCCTTTATAAAAGCAACTTGTTTCTAAGATATTTATATATATAAAAAAAGATAATATCTTATAGAAATAACAAATGAAAAAAAGGACAAAGATAAAATTAAATAATCTTTCCTAGATAAACATTACTTGATAATAACTAATCCTAAATATATAAATAAAATAATTATTTAGAGATAAAATATTCATTTATTCTCTCCAAATATTAGAGATACGATAGTAGACTTGAAATTTTTATCATATCCCTGCATCAATTAATTTAATTAGTTCATACGATAAATGATAGATCATTTATATGACACGCATAGAGTCATTAACAATAAGGTCAATATTTTTATTTAAAAATTTGACATAATTTAATTTAAGGTTAATATTACAAATAATTTTTAAATTATAATAAAATATTTAATGTGATATTTGAATTTAAATTTTTTTAATATAATGTTTGAATTATAAATTTATTAATTAAGTTTATTTTTATATAATTATTAAAATTATTAGTATTTTTTAGTAAATATTTATTATTATACTTGTAACAAATAAAAAAAATTTATCTATTTTTTTGTAATTTTTTTAAAAAATTATTTTGATGACTGCATTAATGATTTTTTGACAAAAAAATCATTTTATTATGATTAATATATATTTTTAAAATTTAAAAATCAAAATAATATTCATTTTAAAAATTAAACACTATAGAAGTAATTTACTCTTTAAATTTTAAGTAATTGAGATAATTGTAGTAGGTAATAACGATGGGTCTTTATTTTAATTTTCTTCATGACTTTTGAGATTAATGTACAATAATGCTAGTTGGTATGATGGGACAATAAATAAATACGTAACAATGATTTTTCCTTTTTAAAGTGAAACAATAATATACTTTTTCAAAGTGAGATAAGGATGATCGTTTAAAAAAAAAAGTGAAGTCATTATATTTTTTTCAAAATGTAAAATGAAAATGAGGTAATAATGATATGTACAATAATCAAAGAAAACCTTCTTCATTGTAAATCAAAATACTTGAACAAAACATTATATCTTTAATTTGCATAAATTTTAAAGATTATGTCCTTAATTAATCTATATATGATATATTATTGAAAAGTTATACAATAAATTCAAAGTTGATAAATAATATTTAGACGAGCATCTATAATTTATTTTTGAAAAAACATTAAGATGCATATAACATTTATTTATTTATTTAAAATTTTTTAACATCTAATAATTATTTTAAATTTCGAATAATTCAAAATCTAATAAAATACATATCATATAATCTCTGCTTGCGATTGTTTTCTCCATTTATTGATATGGCAATGAATTGGATAGTCGTGCAGTGAGGATGGCAACAAGTCGTTCCACTCTCGATAAGACTATTCCAAGTTTGTCCTTTATATCAGGCATTACTCCATTAGGCAATTCCCGTTCAAAGGAATGCAGCAAGGCAGCCAACCTGCGATTGTTTTCTCCATTTATTGATATGACAATGAATTGGATAGTCGTGCAGTGGGGATGACAACAAGTGGTTCCACTCTCGATAAGACTATTCCAAGTTTGTCTTTATATCAGGCATTACTCCGTTAGGCAATTCCCATTCAAAGGAATGCAGCAAGGCAGCCAACAAGTGCGTTACCATTTTTTCTGCTAGAGGAATTCCAACACAAATTCTCCTCCCAGACCCAAATGGGAAAAAACGAAAATCATTACCTAGATAACTGGCTTTCTCAGTTTCTTTCAAGAATCTCTCAGGCTCAAAACGAAGAGGATGTTCCCAAAACTCAGGGTCCCTCTGTATTGCCCATGCATTAAATATGATTGTCGAATGTTTAGGGATGGTATATCCGGAAACAATGCAAGTGGTGGCAGGCATGTGAGGCACGAGCAAGGGAGCAGCTGGATGGATTCGGAGTGTCTCCTTTACTACTGCTTCCAAGTAAAGCAATCGAGGAAGATGAGACTCTTCCACAATGTTTTGCTTTCCAACCACCTTCTCTAATTCCTCAATGACTCTGTTCATTTTATCTGGATGCCGCAATAATTCGGTCATTGCCCACTCCACTGTAGCAGATGTTGTATCCGAACCGCCGATAATCATATCCTACCCACAAATTCAGAGATATCGGAGAATATCGTCATTTTCAGAACCATTTAAGATAATCCCAATTAATTATAATAAACCAGTCAATTGATTATAGTCTCAAATTTTGTAGATAGGCATGGATCCTAATCTTGCATTGGATCCCTATCATAAACATATATAATTGCGTATAGGACCTTTATGTGTAGCATTTTTTGTTTATAGAAAGGAGAACTCAAATAAAATTGAAAATTTGAAATATAACAAAATAAAAAAGAAAATTTTAAATATTTTTAATTTCTATTTAAATAAAAGTTTACTTTTAATTTGTACTTAAATAAACTTTTAACATAAATCAATCATTGTTTGAATGCAAAATAAAAAATAAAAAATTATTTAAAAAATAAATATTTCAGAAAATTTTTATTATCTTTGATTTATTAAATCGTAAGCATATAAAAATATATACTTACCGCAGGAAGGTGAGGACCAATTAGATGTTGACAAAGAAAAAAAAATTGTTAAAGAAATGAGGGGATAGGGTATGTAAGTTGGTGGACATTACCAGAAGCAAAGCCTTCATCTCTTTCATGGATAATGAGGTTTTATCATCTCCTCTCTGGTTCAGCTCCAATAACTGCTCCAAAAAATCCTTGCTTCCTTCCTTCTTCTTTCCCTTTGTTCGGTGTACTATCACTGATTCAAAAATCCCATAAAACCAAGACAAGTGCTTCTTCGTTTTGGACTTAATTCCTTGTAAATCGAATGCGGCAAGAACAGGAAAAAGATCTGAAACGTTAGGTGCTCCTATCAATTCTACAAATTCCTCCAATCGTTTCCTAAACTCAATCCCAAGCCTGCTTCTTTCCTCTCCATTCAATGAATCACCCCATAGCATGCTTATCATGACACTTATAGTGGTTAGAAATATTTGTTCACTAAGGTCAAAGGATGAACCAACCTTTCCATAAATATCCTTGATCATCTGTCGAATCTCACGTCGACGAAGCGCATAGCATGCATCAAGGCTCTTGTTGCTCATAATTTCACGAACAACTAGCTTACGCAGCTTGTGCAATTCGGGGCCATTAGATCTCCATACGATGTCAAATCCACCATAGGTGTCCACTAAGGCTGCTGCAGGAGTGTCACGGTTAGCGAAAATAACATCGTGGTCTTTGAGGACTTCTTTGGCAATTGAAGGTGAACTTACAACTATCCAAATCTTCCTTCCGAGCTGAAGTTTGATGATGGGCCCATAGATTTGAGAGAGTTTAGTAGCGTATTGATGGAAATCAGGTTGGATAAAAGGAAGGTTTCCTAATATAGGCAAGCCTGGAGGACCTGGTGGAAGAGGCAGCTTTGTTTTGGTGATGACTTTCTGAGCCCACCATGCAAAACAGACAATTGCCAGGGCGGTTGCCAATGCAGCGGGTCCGTTGCAGGGCCACGACCCTTCCTCACAGGCAAGAACAGGAACTACAAGCTTGTCATAAAAGTTCGACATCATTGAGTTTCGGTTTCAAAGATAGAAAGCAGAAGACATAGACTTATGTAGCTCTTCCCAACGTGTTTTTCCAAGGGCTTAACGTAACGTGCTAGAAAAAGGATCCCCAAGGGAGAACAAAAAGTCAGATTTCTACTCTAATTTAGTTCGTCTTCTGTTCATATTGTTGAATATTGTTCCTCGAAATCATCTGTTAGATTCGGTAATTCGTAGATATATATATATATTTATATAGTGTTTTATATAAAAATTATTTATTATAATTTGTTTGAATACAAAAATAAAAATATAATTTTTTTAATATTTTTTTTAATTTTATATATAATTTTATTATAATTTTAAATTATATTATTTTTTATAATATTTCATTGTTTCAAATTTCAAATTATCATATTTATTAGCAATGCAACCGATTATATATATATATATATATATATATATATATTGCTTTAGAACTACTACTGAAGCATCTAATGCTAATGAGCCATGGCTTATTAAACATCATCATTGACTTACTTTTTTTTTTTTTTTTATGAGCTTATATTATGCTTTTTAAAATAATAATAAGATTAAAAATAGTAATAAAAATAAAATTAATTATTATATTGATGAAATTGATTATTATAATAAGAAAATTAAAATTAATAATGAGATATAAATTTAAATATAAAAATATTAGTGATAGTAAGGTAAATTATAGTTAGAAGATAAAATTATCATTAAAGTATCGGATAAAAAATTATATATATTAAAAGTTTTAAATTATTTAATATTTATAAAATTAATAAATTATTAAAAATTATTAAATTTATTTCTTATATTAAATTAATAAAATTTTTTCATAATTTTTAAATAAAGAAAGGAAAATGAAAAAAAATAAAAATTAAGTTAAAATGGTCATTATTGTTTTTATAATAATATTTAAAGGATACCAAAAAGAGAAAATAAAATCTGTAGCATGGTTCAATCGTCTTGTTGACTTGAGACCCAAACGAATTTACGGTGGCTTTTGAGATGCAATCGCACCTCATCGTGAGTACGGTTGCATCCACGATTAGCCTTAAAAATTAAGATAAGACCCTAAAGAGTTTTAAAAATTAACGTAAGACTCGAAAGTATCAACTCCCAAGTCGCACATGCGATGAAGGATTTGATGAAAGAAAAGAAGATCAAGTTAATGAATTATGTTTAAAAATTATGTTTCATGCGTGTAATAAAATAAATTTTTGAAACACGAACATAATATGAATTATGAAATATATTTAAATTTTAAATATGAATACTATATATTTATTATATTTATTATATAAAATATGACATGATTAATATCTGTATAATTAATTCATTTAAACACAAAACGAATAAATATATATATATGCAAATAAATATGATTAACATAAATATATACAAGAATACAATTAAAAAATAAATAATTATATATTATTTATAATTTAATAAATTTGACATATTAATAAAATAAAAAGTACTTACATATTAAAAAATAAAACATTTAATACTAATTTAATATGTATTTAATATTTATTTTTAATTTTTAATATATTTACATAATTATATTAATTTTTAACATCAAATTCAAATGATAAACTATTAAAGATTAAAAAATAAAATAATAAAGAATTAAAGATTAAAAAATAAAATAATAAAGTATAAGACTAATATTAATATTTATATTATATTTATATTATTAATATAAAAAATAATTTTATAATAACTGTTAAATGAGTATCATAACTAAATGAGTATCATAATTAATTTTATAATAATACTTGTCACTTATACCATTCAAGAAGTAAAGATTTGGTGTCCTAGTTTATGTTCGTAATTGATAAACGTTTGATTTTTCATTTGAATAACCCTTTTGATTATTTTATTTTTGGTTAAATAAATATTTAATTTTTGAATTTTATTATTTTTGTCACATTTATCTCTAAAGAATTTTTTTATCATATTGTTACTTGAATTTTCAAATTTGTTATTACATTGGTATTTTGGATTATTGTCGTTAATCCACATTATTAACGTAACATAAACATTTAATAAGATGTTGATACGTGTACTAAAAATTTAGTTAATATTATATCATCAATGTCACATAATAATTAAAAAAAAACTTAAAAAAAATTTTTTTTTTCAAATTCAAAAAATTTTAAGAATCTACAAAAAATTCTAAAAGATTGTTTAAAATCCCTAAAATTCTAAAAAAAAATTTAAGAAATTCAAAACAAAAATTCTAAAACTTCTAAAATTTTGAAATTTTCAAAAAAATTTTAAAAAAATCTAAAAAATCTAAAAAAATTAAAAATTTTTGAAAATTTTAAAAAATTCTAACAAATTTTCAAAAACTCTAAAAATTCTAAAATAAATTCAAAAAATTTTAGAAAATTTTTTAATTTTTATTTGTTTTTAGGTTTTTAAAATTTTTAAAAATTTTTGAAAAAATTTTTAGAAATTTTTAATGTTTTTTGTTAAATTTTTTTAATTTTTTTGAATTTATGAAAAAAAATTTTACAATTTTTTTAATTTTCTTTTTTATACTAATGTGGCATTGATGTATGGCATTGACTAAAATTTTTTTATATGTGTTAGCATTTTATTGGATTTTGATGTTATGTTTGCAAAATCAACTAACAACGTTGGTCTAAGGTACTAACATAATAATAAATTTAAAAATTTAAATACAAATATGATAAAAAAATTTTAGATAATAATGTGACAAAAAATATAAAATACCAACTATGTGTTTAATCTTTTGCTTTTTTGTCAATCATTCCCTTGATTGTTAGATAGGAACATTTAACATTTACTATTGCATGAAAGGATCGAACTTACGACCCTATAGTTAATAACCATATATTTTAACTGATTGAGCTACTTTTTTTATATTTTATCTCTTAAATCTTATAAATAATTAAACAAATTATTTAAAGCATTTTTTAAATAATATGGTCTAAAAAAGTGACGGGTATTATTTAAGACAATTTTTTACAAAAAAAAATAGCCTTAAATAATCTCCTTTAAAAAATATTAAAGATTATTTAAGGTATTTTTGATCAAAAACACTTAAAATAATCTCCTTTTAAAAAAATATTAGAGATTATTTAAGGTATTTTTTACTTAAAACACTTTAAATAATCCCTTTTAAAAAAATATTAAAGATGATTTAAAGCATTTTTTATAAAAACGCTTTAAATAATGTGTTTTAAAAAATTGAAGAGTATTATTTAATGTGTTTTAAATAATCCTCTTTAAAAAATATTAGAGATTATTTAAAATAATTTTGGATCAAAAATGCCTTAAATAATCTTCTCATATTTTTTAAATGACATTTATTTAAAGCATTTTTAAACAAAAAAATGTTTTAAGAAATCTCTTTTAAAAAAATAAAATAGATTATTTAAAGTGTTTCCCAACCAAAATTGCCTTAAATAATCATCAATATTTTTTTGTTGATGATATTTTATAAAAAAAAATAGCAATCAAATAAAATATTTATCTTTTTTTACTATCAAAGATATTATTTATCATTTGGGTATTTATTATTAATAAAAACTAATAAAATTTTGCCATCATATATGTTAAGCAAATTATTGTAATTATTCATGAATTAATATATGTAGATTTTTTTCAATCAAACAAGTGAATTTGAATACAGGATGCCCTAAAAATAGAAGAAAACTTCAGGTATCTCACTTCTTTGAAAATCACACTTTTTTTCGGAATCAAAAATTTTACGAACCAAACGCCTTTTTAATGATTTTTTTTGGCCTGGACTAATACACGGATGAATATATATATACATGTATGTAGTTTTCTTAGTTTCATTGTGCATTTAAATTGATTCCTAACAGGATAAAGCTTGTGTGAGGGTATATATTTTTAAATAGAACTTTTCTTATAATTTTTAATGTTAATTTATTAATTAAAAGTTAAATTTTCATATTATTTAAGTTTCAAATATTTAGAATATTTTATTTTTTGGGTAAAAAAGCTATTAAAATTATATTTTTAATTAATTGAGCCTATCAGATTTAATAATTTTAATAATTTCATTTGATTATGTAATTTTTAAAAAATTTTGAAATAAATAAAAATTTAATCAATAATGGAATTTAAGAAAATTTATAGGTGTGCAATATTCTTGGGAATTTCTATTTTAGAAAATTTTTTTAGATTTCATTAAAGTGTTGAAGAATTTAGAAAATAATTTCAATATCAATAATTTTTATTTATTTTCAAGAAAATGATAAAATATTGAAAGATAAATGTTTAAAAGTTAATAAAAATTAGAAATTAATTTTTTTACAAAATATTTAATGAATCCAATAACAAAACTTCTTCAAAAAAACAAACATATTTTCTTAAATACTTTTGAAGTAAGAGAAATATTTTAAGGATTCCACCAAAGTGTTAGAAAAATCATAAGAAAATTTTCAACATTTAAATAATAGAATATTAATAAATAATAATTTTAAAATAAAAATCATTTTAATTAAGGCTAAAAAAGATAATATATGATTATTTGATAATGTGTTTATTTGACGTTGTGAGATTCTAATATCTTTCTCTCAAGTAACTAATTCCTAAATATATATTTTATGTAGATCAAAATTTATTTTTTTAAAAATAAATTTAGTCAAGTTTAAAATTAAAAAAAAACAAAAAAATTTGATAATCAATTACACCTAATAAAAAAATTGATAACGATAATTTTTTTTTTTTTTACATTTAACACTCGAGCTTTTAGACTTATATATATTACGACATATATGCAATTATTTTAGTACACTAGTAGTGGTATTGGACTTCTGACTCTTCTAGATTAGATATATTTGTCCACGGACTTTTGGCAGCCTAGGAGAAATTTTTCTAATTATAGAAAAATTAGATTGTGATAAAATATGCATAGATATGAAAATTAATTTTTTAAAAAATTATATTAAAAATTTTTAAATTTATAACATATAAAATTTATATGTTTGTTTGTATACCATAATAATAAAAAAATATATTATCATAAATGGGTTATAATTAAGTAAATTTATAAAGATTGAAAAAACAAGTAAAAGTTAAAGTTAAATTGAGCTAATAGAGTGAAAAGTCAAAAATAAAAATAAAAAGTTTACTTATAACACCCAAAAATATAAGAAAAAATTTTAATATAACTT